AATGGATAATAAAGCAAATAGGTCTTGAGAAGAAATGCCGAGCTTGCAACTTATAGGGTTTCTAAGATTAGGAAGTATATGTCTGGAGGGTTTTCCTCAGTGTGCAAAAGACACACAAAAAAGAGGATCCAAGATGGCCCATGGACGACCACTACCACAACCTAAAATATGACAAACTGAAAGGTTTCAGTAATGACATCAGAATAAGCTATTTCCAACTAAAATTAAAGCCCCAAACACCCTATGAAAAGAAAAAAAGGTCAAAACAATTTACATGAAAAAAAAATCAATAATCTTGGTTTTGTTTTTACTTCATTTTATATTTTTTTATGGCTTGCATATAAAATTTGTATACATTGTGTATCATCCATATACATTGCATTTCACATCTTTCTACATTCACACTGCATTTTAAATGATCATTCATGTATACTACGTTTTATAGAATTAATCACCACAGACCTACAATTACTATTATTAACCCATCTTTTTAAGTCCCCATTGGATCCTTGCTAATTCCTTCACCACCACCACCACTACCCTCCGCTCATCAAACTCTGGTATCCTAATGATTTTCTCCCTTCTCTACTTTTTACCCACCTGTTCCCTCCCCTTCCCCTTTGAACTTCCATCCACATCTTACTAGTTATCCTTCATGGTCTTATGCAGCATTTGTCCTTATTACCCAGCATAAAACTCTCTAGATTCTCCCACATTATATAGTATTTTAAATTACTGCTCCTTAGTGCTGTATAGTGTTCCATTGTGTGAATGCACCATATTTTTTAAACCATTCACTAATTGATGAACTTCTGACTGTTTCCATTTTCTTGCTATTGTGAACAACACAGTTATAAACATAGGTATACAGCATAAATATTGTTAAATGGAGGCCTAACTAGTCCTTAGGTCCCTGGAAACAGAGATTCAAAGCTACATCTCAGCAGAGAGAGAGCGAGCTGGAGGAGTAGGTGCCATTTTCACAACTCTTTCTAGCTGTAAGAGCTGAAACAGGACAGAAAGTTTACTTCTTTTTACTGTATTTTTGATGTGGCACCTTAGGTAAAACCACCATCCCTGGACAGGCCTTGGTTTTATGGAGGCATACATTTCAGTTGTTTATACTGTGGCTTGTTCCAAAAAGGAATCGAAGCAGCTCATAATCTTACTAATATTTAAATGAAGTTTTTAAATTATTAGTAATTAATGAAATTAGTAATATTTTAAAAGGAAAAAAGAGCCTATAAGGAATACTAAATTCCTCAAAATTGGCAACACCTTAAGGAGGTTTTTTGTTTGTTTGTTTTTTTATTTTATTATTTTTGTGTGCGTGTACCATCAAATCAGATCTGACTGGTACAGGAGGAGATTGCCCCTCCTTCCCCGACAGAGCATCTGGTGGATTCGAACCATGCACCTCTGGGATTGTAGTTGCAGCTTCTTGCCACTAGGCCACCAGAGCTCCCCCCTTAAGGAGTTTTAAAAAATGTATTATGAGAGGCAGTTTTTGGAGGAACCTCACTACTTCCCAAATCTGAAATAAAGTGTTTTGGATATTTAAAAAAAAAAAGTGTTACATATGTAGGTGAAAAGAAAAGTAGTATACAATAAGGGGATGCTTTAACAATATCATTAAAGAAAGGGAAGACAAAGAGAGGTATAGAAGGATTACTAGAAATCTGAATTACAGGGAAGTGGAAAAAGTGTGATTACTTTGTGGATATTGAAATCAATGTTATGAATGAGGACACAATGTATAAGAATAACTAGATGAAAATTTGTTTCATAAATTTTCACTCAACAATTATAAAAGAGAATAAAAATGAAAACTACTTTAAAAAAAGTGTTACACAGATAACTCATTGTCATTGAACGAATTCCAGCTCATATAAAATATACTAATACATAAGGCTTGGAAGAAATAAGATCTTAAAATCTTTCCATATACAACTTCATGCTTCCTTGTTCAGCACAGCTCTTGAAGGATATACACTTGTCACTTGGTCTATTAATCTTTAACAATGTAATATTTTTAAACTGAACAGGCAAAATATGTAACTTGGATTAAAGTAGCTTTGGATCATGAACAGACCTAAACCAGAAGTGCTTGTCAAGCTTTCAGAGTCCAGACTTCAAACTCAGGACTTGTGCCCACTCTGATAAGATCTTCACAGAGACCTGACCTCTGTCCAAGTCCATTTTCAAATCAAAAAGCTTTGAACTTCTGACAGATTGTCAGCTTGGACCTTGGGTATTTATCCAGAACTTCCTCAAGATAGGAAGGGTGACCTCATTGCCACACCTCCTCAGTTTCCCTTTGTAAGGGTTAACATCCAGCCAGGACACCAGTCTCTCAAGGAGAGTTTGTAATGGTTTCTGTTTCTGTCTGTGACATAATAGATGCCTAGTTCAACTTCTTGTTGTCATTAGATGATAGGAATTATGTTGATTCTGACTTATGGTGAGCCCATGTACATTTTTCAAAGCTATAACTTTTAGAAGGAGATTATGAGACCTGTCTTCTGAGGCATGTATGGATGGGATCCAAATACTAACTTAACTTTTGCACCCATACAGCATGAAACCATACACCTCCATTACCTTCAAGCAGATTTTAAGTTAATAAACAAAAAGCGACCTACAACAATCAAGGCTTGCTCTGACTCAGTGTAGCCTGGCATTTTTAGTTTGACAGAAGTTATTTTTCTTTGCTGCCTCATATCCTTCCTAAGGGGGTGCAATGATTGCTCACAGTCTGAACCCTGGCATTTTACATGCCAGTGGAGTGATAGCATAGCACACAGGTATGAGCCTCAATATTTGTCCAATTCATCAGCAGGCAACTCACTCTTGTCTCTGAGGTTGGAGGTTGCCTGTCTAGATTTGGTGGAGAAGGTTCAGGGCTTTTTAAGGTTCAGGGGATCCTTCTAGTCCAGTATCAACATTTTATGACTCTCCAGTACTTTCTATCTGGGCCACCACTAAATTTTTCTTCTTCTACAACTACAAGGAAGTCTGAGCACTTGCTTGCCTAATTCTAACATCTGTACTACTCTCATCTCAACTTTCTTCACTCATTTACTGGAAATACTACTTTCCATTCGATTTTTCAGACATGTCAAATTCATTCCTGACTCAGGTCCCTTGGCCATGATTTCCCTACCCCTGGAGAAGTCTTCTGTTGATCTTTTCCATGGCTGCCTTCTCTCATTATGCAAGTCTCAGCTTCAGTATATTTCCTCCTCAGAGCCTGTACCCTCTTTTAAAAATAGATATCAGCTCCAATAAATTTCTAGCAGATAACTCTATTTCCTCTATATGCTACAACTGTCTCACTTGTTTAGTTGTATCTATTACCTGGATTCCTCACTAGAATATTGGCTCTAGGAGGAGAATGTTCCGGATGTCCCCTCCTTATTCTGTTAATTCACATGTCTCTTACCCTATGAAAGGTGACAGCAAAGTACTGGAATGATCAGGATGCTGGGCCTGGCCACAAATTATTATAATCAGAGGTCAGAGAATAATTTTCCTAGTGACAGTATATTACTAAACATAGGTGCTCAAAACAGACAGTGAACAAATAAATGAGCTGGATCAAAGTGGCTGTCTTTGTTACAAGGTAGAACAAAAAGAGGGATAGTCTGATGACATGGTAGAGGAAACCATCTATTCCTTGCCTGACAGCATCACAACAGGAAACAGAGTACAGTCTGCAAACTGGTGCTAACATGCAGAAAACCACTGCAGCCAGGCCAACTTCAAACCAGAGATGCACTTACAATCCTGCCAGAAGGATTTGCCCTGTTATTGTTATTTGCCCTGGTCGTTGGTGATAGGTGTAATAAAAGCATTTCTTATCTTAAAGTATTCTAAAGTTGACCAGATAATCCATACAATTTTGTTTCTATATAATAATAACCAAACCTACACAGATGCAACTCCTACTATCTACACATTCTGGTATCTCTAAAGAATTGGACGACTGCTATTCAGAATCTGATGCTATGATAAAAATGTATGTGTGTGTGTATTTGTTGTTGTTGTTGGGTACCTCAGAGTCAGAACTGAACCACAGCTGACCCTCTAGTGAGTTTTCAGAGGCAGTTAATCACACAAGGGAAAACTGCTCATCTTTCTCTTGCATATACGTATTTACGTAGGTATATATATAATTTATAGATATACAGATATATAGTTTCATATATAGTTATATAAAGTTATATAGATATGGTTATAGATATATTTATAGATACAGTTATATATATGTTATATATAGTTATAGATATATGTTGTTGTTATGTGCAATCGAGTCATTTGCGACTCATAGCGACCCTATGTACAACAGCCCTAAACCCTGCTCTATCCTGTGCCAATTGCATTGCCTCTGACACACCCATCCTGATTACCCCAGTCACTGAATCAATCCACCTAATAGAGGGTCTTCCCCTCCTGCGCTGTCCCTCTACCCTACCAAGCATGATGTCCCTCTCCAAGGAATTGTCTCTCCTTACAACATGTCCAAAGTATGTCAGACGAAGCCCCAGAATATATAGGTATAGTTATGTACATAAAGACACATAAACATCAGTACACACACACACACACATCTTCTTTTTGGAGGGATTTAATTCTACAGAAAATACTCCCATGTAATTTATGGCATTAACAAGTGGCCAATTTTTAGGTATTTTCTTAATAGGTGGTTATATAAGTGTATAAAAGTCCTTATCATTGACAGACATATACAGAAATACTTACAGATAAAAAGATGTCTGGGATTTGTTTCAAAATAATACCAGAGGAGGGGAAGTGGGCAGGACAACAGCTAAAGCAGAACTGGTCAGGAGCTGATGACGGTTGAAGTTGGGTAAAGAACCCATGGGGTTAATTAAACTACTTGCTCTACTTTATACATGTTTAACATTTTCCACATTAAAAAAAAATAAAATTAACAAGCCTTAAAGATAGATTACTGTCTCTTGTGAAATTCAAGTTACCTGTAGATGGAGGTTTCACCTTTCCGGTCTTGCACTGGGCTCTCCTGGATGACCTCTCGGGTCAAGGGCGAGTTCTGCCGTGAGGGTTTGCAATGCGGGAGGGTACCCATGTGACTGAAGTTATCACAGGACCTTATGGGCGGAAGGCTTTTTTTCTTCCGTGGAAGTGTACCATGAATAGACATGTCCTGATAGGTGTCTGTGAGGTGTTCAGCAGGTGAGGGCTTGCTGCTCAGAAGGTCCATGGATGAGGCCAAGGGTAACTGGTGATTCACCGGCATGTTTCTGGGAAGACTTGCAAATTTTCCTGCAGCCATTATTCGCAACTCTAAGGGAGGAAAAATATAGGTGTAAATGTAAACTAATTTGCAAGATTCAATTTCCTATTTATAAAAGGAAACCAAAAGCAATTGCAAAATGAGAGAAAATATTCACAGAATATTAAAAGGCAAATGCTATCTAACGGTATCACTTGTTTCAGAAGGAAATGCTTCCATCGATCCCATGTTATCCTCATGATCAGTTGCAGATTAGGCTACTGTGCACTAGCTTTCTTTCTGCTCATCCAAGCTTAGAAGTTCTGCTATTCAGCACCATGTAAGCTGCTATTGATGAGTGAGCTTTGGTTGTACATAAAGTGTGAATCTGTAGGGACTTGAACCCAGGTCTCCTGCATGAAAGGTAAGAATTCTACCACTGAACCACCACTGCTCCCCAAATGCATCACTAGTAGAATGTAATAAGATGGAAATGCTATCATCTCCCTCTTAGGATCCCATGATGGAATTCTCTTATGTTGACAGCAGGCTCTCCAATGGAGGGCACGTGACCCACTTAATCATTCCAGATGATGAAAAGTTGATGGGGAAAGCTGTCTGATGAACAACAAAAAAAGATGGTTGAGGAAAGAGACTCAGGTATAGGTGAAGAATACAATAACCAAAACAACTATGAGATATCATCTCACCCCAGTTAAGAATACCAAAATTTTACAGAGCAGCAAACAACAAATGCTGGAAAGGTTGCAGAGAAACTGGAACCCTTAATCACTATTGGTGAGAGTGTAAAATGGTGCAACCACTATGGAAGGCTGTATAGTGCTTTCTCAAAAAGTTGGAAATAGACACACCATTTGACCCAGCAATTCCACTACTGGAAATATACCCTAAAGAAACCATAACTGCCACCCAAGCAGATATATGCACACCTCTGTTTATTGCTGCTTTGTTCACAATAGCAAGAGTTGGAAACAACCCAAGTGTCCATCAACAAATGAATAGACAGAGAAGCTGTGGTATATTCACACAATGGAATATCATGCAGCACCGAAAAACAAAGAACTAATAAAATATAAAAAATAAGTGATCATGGAGGACATTATACTGAGTGAAAGATCTCAGTCACAAAAAGACAAATACTGCATTAATACCACTGTTATAGAACAGGACTAATACGAGGCCTGGGGGAAAACTAAGAAAAGAGGGGATAAATAATGTACATGGCATTGAAACAGATGAGGGAAATAACTGTATAAAAGGAATATATGATTAGGAAAAAAATACAGTAACTGCTAAAAATGCAGTAGAAAACTGGTCCACATATTTCTACCACCCTGCAAATGAGGAAAACAGGTAGAAATTATCAGAATTCTTCAGCTGCCGCTGGGTCATCTTCAGTGCCAGACCAGCTCTTCAACTGTGCCACCCAGGGGGAAAGGGAAGAATTTTTCTGGCCAAAGCCAGGGGCTTATCAATAAATCAATGTACTCTAATTGACACAGATGGGCTGAGGTCAGGGGTAGGTCGTCCCTGCATACATGAGTGGGCTCAGCTGCAGAAGGCTCCATCCACTACTGCACTGTCCCCCAACAAGGTCAGGAACCTGCCGGCCACCAACAGGGCTAACGAATGCCCGCAGGTGCCTAGAGCCTGGAAAAAGTAGAAAGAGAAAGGGAAAATGTACATGACGTCATCTACAAGAGTAGGCCTAACATATTCCCAGCAGTGAGTGGCCATCCCTGCTCTCCTTCTCCCTCAAATCTAAACAATGCTTTTGACCTAAGCCAGATTATATAAGGTTTATTTAAGGTCTGTTGACGTCATCTACAGGGAGCTGCACTGTAATCTCAAGGTGACCAATTCAAATCTACCAGGAGCTCTGAGGGAGAAAGATGGGTTCTCCTTTGAGGTGATTGACAGCCTCCAGAAACCTGTTAGGAGGGTCAGCTATATGTTGGTTCCAATGCCATGGCAATGAGGGGTGTTTTGTTTGTTTATGGTAAAATACAAAGGAAAAGAAACACGAGGCTGGATAAAAATATTTAGGCTTTGACCCTGGAGATCTACAGATTCAGAATCTGTATGGTGCCAGACTAGATATTAGACAATAACACACAGCAATCTGTACTAGCACACATCATGTAGCAGCCTAACTAAGTCCTACTCATGCACATACTACTTTTTTTATAATTAGGGATGTCTATATCAATCCTTCTACCTTTGATTCAACAAACATTTAAGTGTCTAGTTAATTGGGAAAGTCTGTTGTCAAAGATGTCATCAAAGTGCTAAGAAGCAATGATATCAGCTTAAAGACTATGGTACACCTGATTCAAACCATGGTGTTTTCAATCACTTGCTATGCATCTGAGAGTTGGACAATGAATAAGGATGATAGAATTGATGCCTTTGACTTGTGGTACTGGAGAAGAGCACCAAACATCCCATGGACTGACAAAAGAACAAAGAGATAAGTCTTGGAGAAAGTGCAATCAGGACCCTCTAACTTGGAGGTAAGGATGGTGAAACTTCATCTCACATACTTCGGGCATATTGTAAGTAATCCTTGAAAAAAAGACATGCTGGGAAAGGCGAAGGGTCTACAAAAGAGAGAAAGACTACATGAGATGGTCTACAGTGACTTTGTCAACAAGTTTAAATATATCAAAGATGATGATGATGACAGAAAATAGGGTAGGATTCGGGTTCACTGTTCACAGGGTCACTATGAGTCATATAAGACTTGATGGCACTTAACAACAACAAACATATAAGGTACTTGGAAACACAGAAATATCTAAACTCCAATCCTTTACTATTAACTCCAAGAGAAGAGGGAATAATACAACCAATAAATATAGAACTTTCACATTCTGGAAGAAAAAAAAATTATTTTAACAGGAGTTGAGGAAGCTCTCAGAGAAGGAAATGAACATTGGAAATGCATCATTTTGAAATGGGGAAATGTCTCCCAAGAGACAGCAGGGAAATAAAGGCATGAAGAAGCCCCTACAGGTTCAGGAAACTGCAGGTCATGAAAGCTGCAGAAGCATCTCCTGGGAGAAGTTTAAAGCCAGTCCATGAAGTCTTGGGAGTCTCTAAGTAGTACAAATGCTTAAAGGCTTACCTACTAACAAACAGTTCGTTTGATGCAGGTGCCTCAGAAGAAAGGCCTGGTGATCTCCTTCTGAATGATCACGGCTTTGGAAACCCTAGAGAATAATTCTACCCTGAAACACATGGGGTCATCATAAATGGGAATCAACCGGATGGCAGCTGCTATGGCTTGGTTCCTAAAGTCTCAGACGTCCTGTCAAGGTAACTGGGCTTGACTGTCAAGTGCTAGAGAAGAGCTAAATGAGGAAGAATCTAGTCTGTGCACAGGGAAAAAACTGGAGTAACCCTGAGGGATAACTGCAGTAACCCTGGGGTAACTGGGGTAAGCCCGGGGTAACTGAGGTAACCCTGAGGAATAACTGGGGTAACCCTGAGGGTTAACTAAGGTAACCCTGGGAGTGACCTGTGTAAGGACAGACAGAAAGCAAAAATATCGAGTTCAAAACATGTGGCAAGGCAGGTCCAGCTGTGATGGAGGGCGCTCTGCTGCAGCATACTTACCTGTTGAGTGTGAGGTGCCTGTGGGGCAGGCGGCTAGTCTAGGAGGAGGTCAGATATGTGATGCTGGGAGTAAGGGCAGTATGTAGATCTTTAAGAGTCATCAACATAAAGGGAATATTTAAACCAGAGAGTGAATCCTTATCCTTTAGCATGTTATTATCAGCATCAAATAACAGATGTGAAAGTACCTTTTAAACTGTCAGGAACCATGCAGTATCTGTGAATTATGTCTCTGCTCTCACTCACCATGGCTGTTTCAAGGAATGAAAACACAGAGCCTAACCATAGCTCAACCTGCCCACACAAAAGAATCATCTGTAAGCTTTTTAAATATCGGTGCCCAAGCTATATGCCAGACCAATGAAACTGGAATCTCTGCGGGTGGGATGAGGCATCAATCTTCTTAAAGCCCCCCAGTATTATCCAGTGTGGAGCGAGGGTTCAGAACCACTGCATTAGAGTAGCTTTTAGTCCACAGTAACTTGCATTCAGGTTTGTTTATCTCAAAGAACAGAATGAAATGGTGATACAGAGCATTCTTTCATTCATTATTCTACCCAGCACACTCATTAATTATGAGTAGAGAGCTTAGAGGGGGAGGGTGGCCAGCACGGCGTCAGGTACTGGGGGCATAATGATCTCTGTCCTCATGATATTAATATTCTATCAAGGAAGCAGACAATAAGTAATGACCGTAAATGTCTGTGGTTCCCAGAGCTTTGAGAGCACAAGGGAGACCAGTATTCAGATTAAAAGCCAGAAAAGGCTTCCCTGGGAGAGGAATGCTGATGTGAAACAGGGTTTAATAAATGGAGGGATGAGATCCCTCAAGAGGAAGTTTCAGGATGGTTCTCAGCTACAAACAAATTAGAAATATGAATTTCCTATTCTCCTAGGTTTCGCTTTCCTGTCCTACATATTACCTACAAAGTAGAACTTGATCCATTAAGATACAGTCCAGCCTTGTATCTCTCTTTTTTCCTCCCTCATCACTGTCAAGCAGGAATCCCAGGAGACTGTAAGTCACAAAGGAGGAATGTGTCCATCTTTCTCCCACGGAGCTGCTGGTAGATTTGAGCCACTGGAGAGGTGTCACTATTGGGTGAGCAGCGTAACTTCTTACGGACGATGCCACCCTCCTGCCCTCTGTCTGCTGCTGTTAGGGGCCATCAAGTTGATCGCAACTCATCGCAACCCTATGAACAACAGATCCGGTGCTATCCTGACCCATCCTCATCCCTGGCACACTTGAGCATGTGGCTGCACCCACTGTGCCAATCCATCTGGCCAACGGTCTTCCTCTCTTGCTGATACCCCACCTTCCCAAGCATGATGTCCCTTTCTGTAGATATCCCTGTATCTAGTAACATGGAAATACTGGCTCAAGTTTGGATCCTGAGGCAAGCTTAAATCAGTCCAAAAATTGG